TGTATTTTATTTCAACCTATGCATACTAGATTTTCAACTAGCCGCAGTTATTGTGATTTTTTGGGTTTTATTTTTCTCCCTTTTCTTTAACGGAATTTAACGGACAGCTAATAAAAATTAACGAACCGGACTTAACGGACCGGATGGCATCTTTGAGTGGCCACCTCTAAGCCTGAGTGCCGCCTATTGTGGCTGTGTGCTGTGGTTGGCTGTGTGCTGTGGTTGGTGGCAGTACCCGCCGTCACATAGCTGGGGAAACCTTGGCAGTTCGTTCCTTCCATGTGGCCATGCATTGCACAGAGTGCACCACTTGTCGCTGCAATACCCATTGTCTTTGCTTAGATGCCACCAGCATTATTTGGCAGTACCCGCCGCCACCTGGCTGGGGAAATTTTACCACTTTGTTACTTTTATTTGGTTGCACACTGTATAGGGTGCGTTATGTGTCGCTGCAATACCCATCGCCTTTTTTTTCCTTACGTGTCACCACCATTTTGTGGCAGTACCCATCGTCCCCTGGCTGGGGAACCTTAGCAATTCGTTCCCTTTATGTGGCCGTGCATTGTACAGGGTGTGTTGCACGCCCTGCAATACCCAACGCCTTTCTTTGCTTAGATGCCACCACCAATATGTGGCAGTACCTGGCATCAGCTACCTAGGGAAGCCTTCCCAGTTTGCTCCTTTTATTTCGCCGTGCATTGTACAGGGTGTGCTGTATGTCCCTGCAGTACCCATCGCCTGTTTTTCCTTATGTGGCATGACCATTTTGTGGTAGTACCCGCCGTCACCTGGCTGGGGAAACCTTGGTAGTTCGTTCCTTCCATGTAGCTGTGCAATGTACAGCATGCACGAACTGTCCCTGCAATACCCATTGTCTTTCTTTGCATAGGTTCCACCACCATTATTTGGCAGTACCCGCCGTCACCTGGCTGGGGAAACCTCAACACTTCGTCCCTTTCAGGGGGCCGTGCATTGTACAGGGCGTGCTGCGTTTCCCTACAATACCTATTGTCTTTGCTTTGGTGGTACCACCAGTATGTGGCAGTACCTGCTGTCACCTGGCTGGGGAAACACTGTATTCTGTTCCTGTGTTAGGTCGGAAGCGGCCCCTGAACAGGGGCCAACGTTACAAGGATGGTCGAAAGCGCCGGCACAAACACAAGAGGAAGGGGGGAAGGAAACGTGCAGGGGTGAAAGTCAGGCAGCGGATAGAAGCTGCGCATGGTTGGGAAGCTGAGCACGATAGGGAAGCTCTAACAGATAGATTAGAGGAAATACAAGAAGCGGGGTTGGGTGGCCTGCCCTCAGGGGTGTGGCGGCCCATACAGGACCACCTCGCTCCCAAGGACCAGGCCCGATTAGCCACCGTAAGCGGATATATTAATAACGCATTGGAGGGGGCAGAAGGGGCATGGTTCCTAAAATGGCATCGAAGAAAATTCCAGGTAACGTCCTTGGTGCAGCTTCACTGAAGCTTGTTTGCATTTCACATATTAACAAACAAGCAGATGTGAGAGATTTTGCTGGACATGATGAAGTTGTGTATGTTGGATCAGCAGGCACTCTAGCCAGTCCCATTCCTCAGGAGAGGAAGAAGGTGTATGCCATTGTAAAGCGGTAGGAGGAAGCCTTGGAAAAAGCAGCCATGGAAAAGGCAAGGGCAAAGGCTGACAAGACAACCCAATTGTTGGCAGCAGTAGGCAAGGAAGAGTATGCTAAATTCCTAAAGTTCAAGGAATCCCATCAAGGGGAGAGCAGTGTAGGTCAGGAAACCCAGGAGATCAAATATACAATGGGGGAACCTGACCCTACTTTTCAGTAGCAGCAGCAGCGGATAGCCCCTTATTGGGTGCAGGAGATGTGCGGGACACAGAGAACCCTACCCCAATGATGCACCTGCCAACCATGC